TGTGACCCTCAACTATTCTTTCTACCCCACATCCATGCCATGACCCACTCTGCCTTCCCCCACTTCCGTAACATCACCCGGCTCTGCCACTGTCTCACACCCCAGGTCGCCGAAACCCTCATACACGCATTCATAACATGGAGGCTTGACTATGCAAGCTCCTTCCTTGTTGGCCTCGCCAACTCCTCCCTTCATAGGCTGCAGATCATTCAGAACTCTGCAGCCCATGTCCTCTCCCGTACCAGGCTCCATGACCCTATTACCCCCAAGCTCGCCTGACTCCACTGGCTTCCCATCACACAGAGGATACAGTTCAAGATCACGGTCATTACCTTCAAAGCCCTCCATGGCCTTGCTCCCCCCTTCCTCTGTGACCTCCTAAACTCCATCCATCGTGCTCGCTCCCAGAGCTCAGCGGGCTCCGGCCTACTTCATGTTCCCCTCCTCCGCCGCCCATTGGTGGCCAGGCCTTCTGCCCCACCCTCTGGAACTCCATCCCACATTCCCTCTGCCTCGCCCCCACCCTTGCTTCCTTTAAGACCCATCTGAAGACCCGCCTCTTCCACCGTGCGTTTGATCACCCTGGGCCTTGGGATGTCCTCCCTACATGAAAGGCGATAAACAAATGTAACTTTGTTGTTGTAGGTTTTCAGGTGGATTTAAAGACGTATGATGAGGGCATGATGTGCAGGGATAGAGCAGGCAGTTTGGATAGATTAATTGCAGAAATAAATATTTTAATAGCTTTGATTGACTGCCTACAAAAATACAATCACTGCCACTTCACAGCAAATCCGGTGAAGTGCTTTAAGACGATGTGAAATGTGCTGCATCGAATGAAAAGATTATTATTATTATCACATCATTATTATTATCATGTTAAAACATATGTGTGAAGATGTGAGACAAGGCTAAATCACTAAAGCCACAGTCAAAATCCAGGCTTGTAACCTACAAATTAATACTGTAAGAGCCTGTAACCAGGGAATTGCAGGGCTTCTTCTGTTGTGCCTTTTAGCTTGGATTACTCGCCACTATTTCTCCCGTACCATCAGATCAGTGAATGCCTTATTAAGCACAATAGCTCTGCTCTACAAAATCACTCAAGAGGACTGAAGTCTTTCCTGTAAAATCAGAATTCAAGCTCATTGGGGCTGTCACTGTGTTGTGTTGTGTAAACTGTTTGCCCAGCCCAGCGGGTGCTGGTGATGTAGTGCAATCACTGTGTTCTCAGCCAAGGGCTGTGCACATCTTCGATGCCCAAGATTTACTCTTGAATTACTTTTTGACAATATAATAATCCTGCATTTGATACAGCCTGTTCACATCAAGAGGATGTCTCAAAGAGCTTCACAGCATATAATAATAATCCTTGCATTTGATATAACGCCTTTCACGTCTTGTAGATGTTTTTAAGCTCTTCATGGAATAAACTGTAAAGTTAATTCACTGTAGCAATCATGGACTTGATGCTTATGGACCTTACGCCTTGTTGATATCATCTTCCTCTGTATGCTGAAGAGATGTTGAGATTCTGACTCCTGTAAAGCTTGGAGCTGTTGGAGGTGACCAAGTGACATACACTGGGAGAGATGTAGAGATATGCATTGTGTGGGAGGTGGAGAGGAGTTTGATATGATGGGGTTCCTCCACTACCCAATTTGATGGACCTCTGCACTTCTATTCGTTCTTTCCAAGCTTCATTTCTATGTTTGTTGAGCAGGGAAGGGAAGAGCTCATCCACCCCTGGAAACACCTGTCATTGAATCAGCATTGTGTACCTCTACATGTCCTTTACAATGGGACCACCCTACCTTCTCCCTTTGCTTCCCTTTTCTCCCCTCAGTCTGACTTGAATGCCATCAATTCAGAGATATAGTCCGACCAAGTGCAATTTCCTTGGTATTGAGGCATATTGATTGTGTAACTACTTGCATTTACATAGCACCTTTCGTGTAGAGCAACATCTCAACGCGTTTCACAAGAAGAACGCAAGCTGCCAAGCTGTCCTACAATGAGCTTGGATGTATAAACATCACTGGACCACGTAAACAAGTATACACTCAAAAATTGAATGCTTTCCATTTTCAGGCGTTCTATACCTCTAGCTGTGAGCTTGTGAGTAAACCAATGATTAAATCCATCATTGATGATCTTGTGCTTGCCTGGATGCACACCAACCTTTCTACATTGTCTGTGAAGTAGCAGTGGCTCATGCCCATCATGGCAAGTGAATTTAGTCCAATTTAGCGATTTACACAACGGTATGAAACCAAGCATATAGGTTCCATATGGGTTGAGTAAATCTGGAATTCTATCAGAATAGTTATATGCTAACCTGGCCAAGGCGTAGCGGCAAATCCATATTGCAAAATACGGATGGAGCGAATTGCTTCGGCAAGTATTGATTTTAATCAGAAAACGCAGTGGGTAAGTAAGTCATTTCAAAGCCGGGAGGGAGGGAGCTGTACATTCCTGTAATTTCACTGTCATCTCATGACAAGAAGGCTGAGGTCGGCTGCTTGACTCAGAGAAACTGGTTCACCCAAAAATCCAATATTGCAATTCAGATGGTCGATTATCTTCTGATTTGGGAATGTTTTTGGCCCCAGTTTGAACTCATTACCACATTACTTCTCATTGGTTCAACTCACTTGTTGCTGCCAAATGCTCTGTCTTCCAACTGAGGAGCTGTTGAGGTCACGCCCTGCGAGTCTCTCCATTGCCCCATCAAACCATTTAACAAACAGCTCAATGCTGTGAGGGGAGGAGGATGGTCAGGTGGGTATTAGGACGGATGAGTTCAAATAGGCTGAAGACTTTTCTTCATCCGAACCGACCTTGTGATTTAGGTTTCTTCTATTTGAGTCACAATGATGACCTCTCGGTTTTCTTCTTACTTGGGAATCTGCCTGAAGATATTCCTTTGCTGTTTGCAGTAACACACACAGTTCTGGCTTGTTAATGTGTTATCTATTATTATCACTTTATGATTGTCACCTTCTCCTACGCCACTCACCTGCCTATCTGCCTCCTCCACTCGGCTAATTTAGACCTGCTGGGTGTCTCCTGTCCCGCTCTCACCATCATCGGCGGCTGAGCTTTCAGCAAACATGCTCTAGACTTGAGACCACCCTCCCTCCAACCCTCTGTCTCCCTCTCTCTGTGTATCCTGAATAAAAGTCCACCTTTCCAACCCCTCTTACAGTCAGCTTCCTCTTCTCCTTCTCCCATACTCGGTGTCTGACTGTGAATCTCTCCAAGACATTATGCCATGTGAAGTGCGTTATGTAAATACATGTTGTGGTGGTTGTTGTTTTAGATGCTTTACACCCTCAGACCCACGCTGCGATAGCTGCACACGACACACAAATGTTTATTGGACCATTTGAATGATCTTCTTTCCTTGACTTTGCATGAGTGTTGGAGCCACGCGATGGAGCCGTTGACGAAAAAGTAATGCACTCTCCTACTGTTCCATTTCGTACCTTCAGAATTCCATCCAGGCAGGCACGTCAACATCTCTTTAATGGTTTTTTTTAATGGTAACAATACTCGCCTCTTTGTGTTCCACTCCAGGAGTTTAAAAGCCTGCTCCCGCATCACAAAGATTTATGATGCTTTGGAAATTAATTTTTCTCCTATCAGCAAGCCAGGCTTTTTAGATCTCGCTTTGTTTGACTTTCCAAAGCCCAGCCACAGATAGGATTCATTGAAATGGAGCGCGGCTGCTCATATCATCGGGAATTACTTTTACCATTGTCCCTCATCCCCTCCGCTCTACCATTGGTGGTTGTACCTTCAGCCACCCCGAAACTCTGGAACTCTCTCCCTCAATCCCTCCCCATTGCCCTCTCTCTTCCCACATTCAAATCCTGCCCAAAGACCTTCCTTTTTGATCGTGCTTGCGGTCACCTCCCTCCTCTCTCTCCCCCTAGTTCGGAGTCAGACTCGGCCACTGTCAAGCGCTCCGGAATGCCACCTGCATGAAGAGCGCTATAAAAAATACAAGTAGTTGTTGTTGTTGTAATGAGGTAGACACCCGGAAAAGTGAGCCCAAAGATGTTGAGTAAGAGCTTTAATTTTTTTGCAGATTGACGATGGGTTTCAGCGTCCCGGTAAAATACCATCTCTGTTTAACATTGTGTTGTTGTTAACATGTTTTAACTGCTGGACAGTGTGCGTGAGAACACATGCTTTCAGTACTTTGATCCAGATACCTGCCAGTCACTGAAGTGGTGCCCAATGAGAGAGCTTCAGTTTAAGCAAGGACAAGTGAAAACACTTCCTGACGAACACCAACAAAGACAAACAAAATCAGATTGGTTTGTGACGACAGCAACTTGGCGCCGGTCACAATAGACATGTTTAGTCTTTCCCAACCGTTGATCCAATAAACACATTGATCCAAAAGCGCAGAACAGAATTTAATAATGATAATCTTTGTGTTTGATTAGGCACCTTATCACTTCATTGAGACATCTCAACGTGCTTCACAGAATATACTGTAAAGAGGAGTGACTGTGTATTCTGTGGGCAGAATTTCTACCTGACCTGCAATTGTCTTCCAAAAAGGAAACTCTTTTCTTATTCATAGCGGTGAGAAATATGCCAGAGACTCTGCAGGAATAAAATGTTTAAAACGGGCAACGAGGTGGAGTTTGGGTCAGATTTTCACAGAGATGAAAATGACTTTCGCCCCCTGCTCACACTCTCCGGCTCCTTTCCTCATGTTGTTTGTACCTGTAACTAATCTACGGAAAGACTATTTCAGTGAACGATTAGTAAAACTTAGGAGATGGTTGATGCAAGAAATGTTGATTCCTTCAAACCTGGATTAGATAGTTTTCTTTTAGGAAATAGCACGATGGTTAGTTAGTTAACATGGTTAGTTCGGGACATATGTGCATCTGTCATGAAATTGGAAGGCGAACAAGATGGACCTTGGTCTTTTTTTCGTCTAGCGTTTCTTAAGTTCTTATGTATTCTTGCAGCTTCAGCGAATGACGAGTGTGGCGGGACCCTGCGAGGCCAGAGCGGAGTGATCTCAAGTCCCAATTTCCCTTCCGAATACGACAATAACGCAGACTGTACCTGGACTATACTGGCCGAGCCTGGTGACACCATCGCGCTGGTCTTCACAGACTTCCAACTGGAAGATGGATACGACTTTATAGAGGTCAGCGGGGCAGAAGCTTCATCAACATGGCAAGTACACAACCTTAATTACCAATCAAACGGCTGGGGGGTTGCTGAGTTCTGCGTTGGTCACAAGAGAAAGCTATTTACATCCTTGAATGTGACATTCTAATCGTTTCACAGGTTTTTTTATCTATAAATATATATGAAGAACAAAATGATTTACTGCAATGTTATTGTTCCTTTACTTTTCACCAGAATTGCATTTTTTATTTGTTAAGTGCTTGTTTTCATCTCAGAAGGTAGAAGTTTCCTTCCCCCACCACCCAGAGGTTTGCTATTCTGTCCGAAATCTCTTATGTTGTAATTGATATATGACAGGTGTTCACAGGGCAGTGGTCTTCACTGGATGGTGTGTCTCACTCACCCACAGAACAGAACAGAACAGATGTGCAAAGTGTAAACCATCTGGTTGCAGGTTTTGTCTGGAGAAACTATGAAAGTTCTGCCTTGTAATCAGCCTCCCGGTTTAAACTGTGACAGAATTTTGTGTGAAAGGTGTCGGCCTGATCAAGGTCTCTTTTTCTATGTGAACCAAAAGTTGGAGAGATAAATGGATGCCACAGTGCCTGCCTTCCTTATGTGAAGTCTAACAGTTGAAGCGTTATATCACAGAATGGGTTCCCTGCGGCAGATGTAACACTGCCTGATGCTGCAGTGAATTCTAATGGGGTTTCACTGCAGTGGAGGTATGTTGAGCAGTTGGTGAAGAACATCAAGGTTTATTCAAATGGCAAGAAATGTAGACTCGCAGCGCTCCTTTGTGCTTCAATGTTTACGATGCATTTCTACCCTGCCCAGTCTTTCTTTTCCACAGTAGTGATGTGCTTGCATTTTGTTGTAGTTGTTGCTGAGGTTTTGAGGTGTTTAAACATGGGGGCGGGGCAGGTGAATTATCAAAACATCTTGACATTTTGACAAAAAGTACAATGTATAACCACATAAATGTGCTGAAAAAAATGGTGCAAGCATTAAGATGAAAGATTATAAATACACTGTTACCCTTTCCTCTTGTCTCTGCCCTCAATCTTCTAAATGGCCGGCCTCAGTCACAGAGTGTATTACTTTGGGCAATTGTCCAGCTTTTGTTAAGACTTTGTTTTTAAAATTTGGAACTTGTTTTTTAAGCAACCAGCAAAACAGAGTTGGTCAGCACACTTTGTAAACAGGCAGAGAGTGTGAGGATATTATTGTAAATTCAGCCATTCTTTTCCTCTTGTCAGAACCCTCAATGGGATTGAGATACTTTCCTCATTTCTACCCTAAAGCTTGAGGTGTGATTTAATAATAATCCAACCTCTTGACCAATCTCCTGTGACAAACGTTTTGCTAAAGTCTAATTATACAACATCCACTGAGTTTCCTTTGTTTAAATGTTTGGTATTTCTTTGAAGAACTCCAATAGATATGCCATTCCAGTCTCCCTCCTGTGAATCCATACTGAGACCTTCCCCTAATTCTACATTTCACTTCACGTTTCATTATTTCCACCCTTCAGGATTTGTAATTGACAGCAGGAATAGACAATGAAGAGTTACCAGTAATCTAATCTCCAGGTATTCTAAGCGCTCTGAGACGCTACCCCACATGAAGGGCGCTAAATAAGAACTTACATGTGTATAGTGTCTTTCACATTGGGAGAACGTCCCAAGGTGCTGGACAGTCAGGTTTTTGGTCCCAAGCAGGGGGTTGGGATCAGGAAGGGTGAAGGACAGGGAGGGTAGGGGTAGGAGGGTGACCGAATGCGCGGTCGAAGAGCAGGGTTTTAAGACATGCCTTGAAGGAGGCAAGGGAGGAAGCGAGGCGAAGGGAGTTCCAAAGGAAGGATGAGGGCAGAGAGCCTGAACGCCCAACCGCCGATGATGGGGTGGGATGGGTGGGGGACGTGGAGCAGGCCGGAGCCTGCCTAGCGGAGGGAGCGAACAGTTCGGTAAATGCAAGTGTTGTTATTGTTTGTTTAGATGTCAAAATAAATAACAAGAGCTGGCAATAAACTATACGGATGGGACTTGAAGCCATTAATTGCTGGTCTCTGTGTGCTGGGATCAGATAGTGGAGTTCAAATAACTTCTGGTGTAATTGTTATTTCCTCTTAAATTAGTGGCTCAGAGTATGGATGTCAATAGACAGCACGCTCCGGCGCTTTTATGTTTGTGATGTCCAAAGTGATGTAGCGGCAATTGAGATGCATGCTCTCTACTCGGCAATGGATGTTTGGGAAGTAATATGGACACGTTCCTTTGAGCGAACCTGTGTCCAGAGAAGAGAATCACCATGTAATAAGCTACAATTTTCTTCAAT